CCTTTGATGGGCTCCCCGTTGAGCACGGCCACTGACCTCTACGCCTCTTACGGTAACATGGGTATGGGCACCGGCAGCATGGCCAACGGGAGCGGTGGCAACGCCGGCAACTCATTGCTGCCTTTCCCCTTCCTTCCACCGTCTGCCTACACCGGTGAGAGCGGAGGTCTCCTTGTCCCTCCAAACATGTCTGCACCAGCATTCTCTTCACTCACAACGACCAAAGGATCGCCGGTCGGGATGGAGAACATGATCGAAGAGGCACGCGGACTCGCAGGCCCGTTCCAAGCGCCTTTGTCCCCCCTCTTCTCCTCCCGCATTCAGTCTCCTGCTGTTGGCGACGCACCCCGGGCAGACACTGAAGGAGGGCGCGGAGGGCGTAGTGAGCAGACGGGAGCCGTGTCCTCGCTCGTTGGGATGTCTATGCGATAAGGAAGCTGCACAGCGGCCCCAACAAGAGTGAGAACGATAGGGAGAAGGAGAAGATTTAGTAGGAATGTCAGACGTCAATGGAATAGTTTTATAAGAGGGATTAGGCTATATCAAAATTTACACATACATTTTTCATAATAGCGAAGCAGGGAGGAAAGAGTCTTGCTGATTCTAAGTGTTTCTACCTATAGATGTGATACCCTTTACACAAATGTACACTGTAAGAGCGCGGGAAAAGAGTCGGCCGTGCGGAGAGGAGTAACGCACAAGGACGCGCCTCTTTTCCTTTGACAGAAGAGAAGTTTAAACACAAAGACGTGGACCACAAGTGCTTGCGTATGAGCGATGTAAGGGTAAGTGCAGATCGGAAAACCAGTGGCTGGACCATGGAAAGCTCATGGCAGGGAGAACCTGTACACCTAGAGGGCAACGAGGGATGGGGAAGGCGCCCTGGGCACACAAAGCACGAGAGACTCGTACATAGACTGCACAAAGCGTGTAATACCCCGACTCAAAAGTATCCATAGCAAGTCATCTAAAGAGTGCATTGCACCGTATAGAGTTGCGCACACCGGACCAAAAAATTGCTTCTTCATACCAAATGTACACACCTCTCGCTTCATAGATCTTTTTACGCTGAGACCTCTGGCCCCCTTGACTTCTCGATACGCCTTTCCTCGTGATAAATACCTCGCCCCCCCGAAAACATCAAACCTATCAGCGGTATAAGAGTCAAAAGTCCTTGCCGATACGCTCACAAATTATCACTCTTCGCATACGGACAAACGTACACGTCACGTTTCTTTGCCTTTTACGATTTGTTCTGCTTTCCCGCACATTCTCAGATGTCCTGGTGGCCACACGCCATCAGATGTTTCCATCCACTCTGAAAGTTTCTTGCGCTTGCCTGCTCCTTAACGAAAATCTTCCAGGTGGTGAGATCTCAGGAGTGCAACGCAGATGTGAAATTATAATACGATCGAATCGGAACCTTCGGTCCCCACATGTCTCTCATCAGAAGACCGTATGATCTCGCTTCAATGCATGACTGCAGATAGGCCCCACCTTTCTTGTCTCGAAGTTGAGGTACGATAAGTCAGTGCCGACATCCACTTACAATTGGTGTCGATAGCATTCAGTGGACTTAGTCTTATTACGTTGAGTCTATCAAATCTAGCGGCGGGGGAGGGATATAGGGCGGAGACATCGCAACCTTCTTATTATTTCCCCGTTTCGGCACCTGCTGTTGTTGCTGTTGCTGTCGCTGTTGCTGCTGATGTCTCGTTTCTACAGACTGGTTTCCCTCCCCCTTTGGCACGCCACCTTGCGCGGCGTTGGCGTAAAAAGAAGGCGTCGCCGAATCCAATAGCGGTAAACCCTTTTCCAAACCTGCTAAGTCCTGCAAGTCAGGCGCATACAAGGCCAGCTGCTTTCGGAGCTTCGCCACAACAGCCTCCTGGTCTCCGGCTGCCAGAGCCGCCTGCAGCTGCTTCTCCAGACGGAGTATTTCGTACTCTGCGTCCAGGTCCAAGGCAGAAGCCACCGTCGTGGGAGAGGCCTTCATTCCCCCCGGTTTCAGTTCCAGCAGGTCCGGCAAGATCCCACGCAAGTCCCCAAACTCGATCGCCACCAGGGGGTCCTCCAGAATGTTGTTGACAACGGCCATCCTGGCATTGTATCGGAATGCGAGCGCCATGGCTTGAAACGAGGACTTGACCTCCGGCTCCACCACTCGCGTGGGCGCCGCCGACCCGGTGGGAGGCACACTGTCTCCAATTGCCCCAGCAGGAGCAGAGACAGCCGATGAGTTGCCCCCCCTTTCCTCCTCTTTCAGCGCCTGTTCGTTCGCGGATGAAGAAGCACCTTCCATATCTCCCACTTCCACCTCCAAGCGTGCCTTGAAACGCTTGTTACTGTTGTTCCCTCCCACCCCCCTCCCCGCACTCAACTGCTCAATCACTACCCGCTTGAGGCTGACGGGGTGCCCGGCTCGCACTCCGACCAGACTCGAGAGTGCGTCGTGCTTCAAGTACGAGCCTACGTCGATGTCCTGGAGCAATTGGAGGAGAGTGATCGCCTCCGGGGTCTCAGCTGCGTGTACGTCCAGACCGGCGCTCATCGGGTCGCTGGGCGTGACCACCACCTTCAGGGCCTTTCGCGGCCTCCCGCCCTCCGAGCCCTCCTGCCCCTCTCCTTCCTTCTCAGCCAAGACCACCACGAAGCCCCGTTCGCTCGTGCTCACCCCTTGCACCACCACGTCGACCAGAGTCTCCTCCGCCTGGGACGCAGGCCCGGCGGCCGCGCTCCCAGCCGCTGTCGGGCCAGGGAGGGTGTTGTTGACCACCACCGTGGCTGTGGTGTCGATCACCCCCGGGGCCCCTCTCTCCAAGCTCACATTGCCCGCCTGTTGCTGGCTTACAGCCACTGCGGCGGCCGCTCTTGCAGCGGCAGCGGCGACTTGCGCGGAAGCGGCAGCTTCCACAG